GAGGCTCTGAATCCACCCACAGTCTGGAGACCTTCCCCCAAGATTGATGCTTTATTTGCTTTTCTCACAAGCAGGGGGAACTGCTTTCCCTGGAGTTTTCCCAGCCTCCAATTGTCATCTTTCCATGAGCTTTAAATTTGTGTTAGCAGTGGAAGTGTTTTGATTTTAGCTACTAAACTCAGTGCCTGTCTCTTCCCTACCCTCCATGGCATTGACTTTTATGAAGGGAGAGCGTAAGTTGGTTGGGGCCTGTGATCTTTTTTCTTTTCTTTTCTTTTCTTTTCTTTTCTTTTCTTTTCTTTTCTTTTCTTTTCTTTTNATAAGTTGGTTGGGGCCTGTGATCTTTTCTCTTTTCTTTTCTTTTCTTTTCTTTTCTTTTCTTTTCTTTTCTTTCTCTTCCCTTCTTCCTTTCATTCATTCATTCATTTATTCATGTCCATTCGTTTGTACGTACGTATCCTGTCTCTTCCTAGGAGGAGCTCTTTTTAAAATCTGGGTCTCAGCCCCACTGCTGTCAACTCCTGTTGCTAATTTAGATTTCCCTCTCCCTTTTGTCTTTATCTATTTGCATGTAAATTGGAGACTGTTACTCTTTGAATGGGCTTGAGATGCCTCCTAACCCTCTGTTGCAGGCGAGTTTTGTCCAGTTGCTAAGTAACTGAGTTGCTTACTTTGTAGCCCTTCTCGCTCTGCCTTTTCCTTCCCAGTGACAGAAACTGACACATTGGATTTGGGGTCAAAACTAGTCTCGAGGAAAGTGCTTTAACCTGACTGCGCTTGGCGGCTCAGTTTCCTGGTGGAGGTGTCAGCACCCCGGACACACGGATGCCTGGCGGTGAAAGAGTTAGTGGGTTCCTACAGTGCATTTCCACGTTACGCCAGTTAAAAACCAGAGCAGCCTTGTGCTACCCACGGAAGGAAGGGGAACCTCTCAGCTGAGTACAAGAGGAACTGGCAGAGGCTGGCAGATTTTACAGTTGATTCATGAAATGTAGAATAGGGGAAACGCTTCGTAAACCTGATTGGAACAGGAAGGGGTATGGTGGGAACGAGGCCCTGAAATGAAAGGTTTGATTGTTGTCTGTGGATTTCCTCAGACACCCGGGCCTCGGGAGGAGTGATTGGAAGGGAAATTAAGGTCCTCCTACTGGATAAATAGACAGTGTAGGAGAAAGTATCCAACACTCAGATTCTCCAACCCCCAACACCTTTTCACACGTAAGAAAAGCCTGAGGCTGGGGCCAATTAGGAATTTACATTCTACTGTTCTTCAGGGGCAGGTAGTTCTGTGTGAATGTTGCGTGCAGCTGAAATGGATTAAAATTTTGTCACAAAAGAAACAAACTCTGGTTAGTAAAAAACTGCTTTGTTTACAGGACATTTACATTGACCTATTTCTGTGGGTGCTTGTAAGGGAAAAAAAATGCTTATAGCCTTTCAGGAATTTCTTTGTCTGGCTATTGGTGGAGTATCTCAAGATGAAATCTAACTTTTCAGTGTCTTCTAAGGCAAATATCACAGAATTTTGTGAAAGGGTTATGGTGTTCCTCATTCCTCCAAAGGAGCTGGAGCTCAGATCTCATGTTAGGAAATTTGANCAAATATCACCGAATTTTGTGAAAGGGTTATGGTGTTCCTCATTCCTCCAAAGGAGCTGGAGCTCAGATCTCATGTTAGGAAATTTGAATTATACATTTATTTGGGAAACACCGTCAGTCCAATTAAACACCCCTACCTTCTTTACCCTCTTATTCCCAAAATAAATATTAAATCTCTACAGTCTCCGGTGAAGCTTTTTCTAGAGATTGGCAATAATGGAAGGAGGGGTTAGTTTCCTAGAAACTTTAATTTTTGCTAATTAAATTTAATTTTTGACCTCTTTGTGATTGGGCCAAGAAACCTGACACCCACAGCCTTGTTTTGGTTTATGATTAAAGACCACAAGGGGTCAGGACCTCAGGATTGCGTCTCATTGGAAAAGTGGCATTTAGTTAGGAAAGCAAGTTGGCTCTTTCTTCCCGAGCAGGAGTTTCTAGAGCAGAGTCGCTTCTGGATTTTTTTTTTTTCCTGCTCTTCTTTTGCACACTTTCCAGTTCTAACCTTGTTGAATAGGACAGAGTGGTGCTGCAGGATGTTCCTATTCATTAGCCTGGTCTCCATGGAGTTTTAACTCATTCCTCACATTGGGTGACCAGAGCTCTTTATCTTTGAGAAATGGTGCTTGCAAACATAATTGTCTTTTACCAATGACTTTGGGACACATGAAGGTGAAGAGGGGGCCCTGAAATGTTGTGAGAAGGCCTGTTGCGCTCTGGAGCAACAGTAACTACTGTGCTACTTAGACTGATGTTTTCAGTCTGGAGCAACAGTAACTGTGCTACTTACACCGATGTTTTCGGTTAGCCTTGCATATGTGAGACACAGAACTCCTAGTGCTAATCTCTCCCGGGCTTTAGAGAAGGAGATGATACTGAAGTCATCTGAGTCTGACTTCTCATACTGACTCATTTTGTGACTTGATGCACTACCTTGAACCTTAGTTTATCCTTCTGTGGAATGGGTTTTAGACTGCTTCAGGGGTGCTCCCAGCAGTCATCTGGTCGTGCCGTGTAAAAACACCATCAGTTTTCATCTACTTCTCTTTTTTATTAGCAAATGCCTATGAAAAGGCTTCAGTTTAGTTTGCTGCCACAAGCAACTACATGTTAATTTGCTTTGGACTTATGGGGTCTGATAATCAGACTGAAAATTTATGGCTGAGTTAGTATACTATAGAATATATACCAGTGAATCAACTAAAAAAAGTTCTTTTAGGGGAAGTTACCCTTATGGGACCATAAAGATTTAGTGCTAAATGGCTGAGGACTTTCATCTCACCTGCACTTTTGTGAAAATCGGATGTTTATTATTAAAAGTATAGAGAGGTACATAGAATGAAGAAAAACACTTACTCTTGGAAGAGAGTAGTATTTTTGATCCAGAATTCCAGCATTATATTAAAACATCCGTTTTTATGACACCCATAATTAACTGTCATCAGTTAAGTATATTAACAGGTATAGAAGACACCGGCTGAAATAAGTGGCTGCAGTGATTAGATGATTTATAATGAGGCTTTAGAGAAATTCCTTCTATTTTACATTCTTTGAGCTTCTTATGCATCCGTACAGAATCACTGTATTTTTGCATGAATTTCATAGTTCAAATCCCTTCAAAGGATATTATTGTGACACTTCAAATTCAGCTTTCTGAAATAGAAGAAAGAGAAGGAAATGAGAGGTGGCTGCTATCTTTGACCCTCCAAGGAAAGCAGTGGTGAATATTTTAAGCAGCTCTTCTGGGAACAGGCAAGATTCTGTGGCGGCCTTTTTGACATCCTTGCCTGTGTTGAAGCCATGCCTCCCAATCCTGGTGTTTTTAAGGGTCTTGAAACTAAGTGATCATTCGGCTCCAACATACTCACCTTACAGATTTAGACAGTGAGGGATAAAATGTTCTTAAGGAACTTGCTCGCGGTTAGAGAGCTGGCCAGTGGCAGGGGTAGCCCTGGCATGCAAGCCTTCTGAATTTTCCCCTGACCCGCAGTCTCCCGCTGTCAATTACAGACACACTTGAAAGCTCTCTAGCCACTGGACTTTTATTGATGGTGTTTCTTAAGGGATTTCTCTTGGAATCCTTTGGTAAGCTGATGAAGATTTTGGACAAACTTTGTAAAAAAAAAAAAAAAAAAGCACATACATGCACAATTTGTCATAAAGGTGTAGGAGTTGACACACAGCCCCTTACTAAGGGCATTCTCAGACCTAGGAACTCTTGCTCTAGGGCTAACATTTTGCCTTTCATTGCTAACTAAGATGTCCCTGCCTGGAACTGTTTAGTCTAAATAGGAGTTTTTGGACCTTTCATTTTGGCCCAACGGGGTTTGGGGAATAGGCTGTGAATTAACTGAATGGTAAGTTGAATTCAGGTGCACTTACAGCTAA